GGTCTGGTTGTCCAATCTCAAAAAAGAAAAAAAAATATTAGAATTGGAAAAAGTACAGAGAATGGCAACAAAAATGATTAGAGGTATAGAACAGCTTCCATCTGAGGAGAGATTAAGAAGACTGACTGTTCATCTTAGAAAAGAGACAACAAAAGGGGAATATGATAGAGATCTATAAAATCACGAAAGGGGTGGAGAAAGTGAATAAGGAAGTGTTATCTACCCCTTCATGTAACACAAGAACCCAATGAAATTAATAGGCAGCAGATTTAAAACAAACAAAAGTTCACATGGTTCACACAACACAGAGTCAACTATGGAACTCAGAGCCAGGGGATGTTGTGAAGGCCAAAAGCATAACTGGATTTTTAAAAAATTGATACATTCACGAAGGAAAAGTCTATCAGTGGTTATTACCCAAGATGGACAAGAATGGAACCCATGCTCTAGGTGTCCCTAAAACCTCTGACTGCCAGAAGCTGGGACTGGACAATAGGGGATGGATCACTCAATAATTGCCCTTTTCTGTTCATTCCTTCTGAAGCATTTAGCACCAGCCACTGTTGGAAGACAGGATTCCGGGCTAGATGGACCACTCATCTGACTCAATATAACCATTCTTATGTTCAATATCTGTAAGGGAGGGGAGTCCTCTTGTGAAAGGTTCTCCACACAAGCTTTGAGTGGCAGTTATGAAGTTGAGCGCCAACATGGACTAACCTACCGAAAGAATATCTGGAACCAGCTTCCATTTGATGGGAAACAGATGTTCTCTCAGTATTAACATATACCCAGGCACATTGCTTACTCACTAGTGAATTAAATAATGAACTGTGTATATCCTTTGAGAGTCCCATAAAGTGTGGTGACAATTAGTCTAGGAGTACAAAGTGGTCTATAAAAAAATAATTTAGGCCTCTGTAGACCCCGGCTCCATATTGTTACCATTTTATGGATGAAGAAACCGAGGCAGAGGAAAGTTAAGTCAATGCTCAAAACAAGCTAGTTGCACAGCTGTTGAGAGCGGGGTTAGCGGATACAGTGGTAAAAACACAAGCGCTCAGTCAACATTCTTGCTACCACTCATGCAGCTGTTCCTCTGCTAGAGCAATAGGAGAAGAATGTGAGGAAACACTTCTACAGAGCACTCAATTTATATTAGTGATAAGCACTAAAGGAAAGACTAATTTCCAGGAGGGCCCACCTCCACCGCATTTTCACCAGGTTTAATAAGCATGCTAGAACGTGGTTTAAACTCAGGTGCAGTGGAACAGCGTTCTTAAGATAATTTTGGTGGCAAGTGCCAACAGAATGCAAGCATGGCAGAACACTGTTCCAAACGCATATTCTAATCTAGGCAGGAACCTTTACTAGATAATGGGAACTGTTCCTATCTGAATTAGAATACGGTTTTTGAAACTTGTTTCACCATGCTTTGATCCCATCAGCACTGACCATCTAGGCAGCTCATTATCCTTGCTCTAAAACGTTAATTATGCTTTTGTTTCTTAGCCTCTCTCTTCATTAGGTGTAATAAAAGGCAGAGAATTTTTTAAAAAATTCAAAACACAACCAACAAAAGACAGACACAGGACAACTTGAGCGTCATCTACATTTAGGCAGTTTTATTAGACAACTTGAAAAAAGTTGAGACTGCTTTAATTTACAAATGTATTAATAATTTCAGTAACCTGGCAATTATGGAAAAGAAATATTTTACAAACGTTACAAAAGTTGTACTGTATTTTGAAATACAGAAAAGGCTATTAGTCAACAGTAAAGATATATATTATGTGATGATAGTTTTTCAATCCGATTGCAAAATAGTGTTTTTATGTCTATGCCTTCTCAAACCTACAATAAATCTTGAGGCTAAGGCACTTTGCATATATGTTCACTAGCATATAAGAAAAAACATTATAAGGAGACTGCAATAAATGGATGCTCTTATGCCTAGTAGTGGCTGTCAGTGTACCAGACTCTTGTGAATGGGCACAGCTCTTGACAAATAAACTGAAGGCTATTTCTTCCTACTGCTGATAATTTAACTAAAGATTAATTCAAGCAAATTTAGATTTAAGGAGGCCAGAAGAGAATTCTGAGATTTAAACTCTTTATTGACTTTATTATTTCAACTGCTTTTAAAAAAGGAAAAACTATGATGATAATTGCATGGAAACCGACAGTGAGAATTAGGGTATGTAGCAATTTTTCAGAAAAAAATGTTTACTGTCTCCACCCAACAGCTATCTACTGATTTGTAATGAACCCACCCCGATGGCATCTAGGTGCAACACAAAAAGTCTTCAAAGCATTAGAGCAGCCTCAGTAGGAGGCTTGTTTTCTTTTTAAAAGATTGTTTCTCATGCTGATTAAGAAGGGGATATCGACAGTTAATGTCTCACAATCTCTATTTCCATAGAGCACCTGCCCATACAACAAACCCCCCTTTCTGAGTAAAAGAAAAAAATCACCACCACCTTAAAGAAAACTCTGGAGTGGTAACTTAGAAATGTGTTTAGTACATCCTTTTCATTTCTGTGTATCAAGTCCAAAGAGTGAAATATGAAACATTCATTTAAATCACGAGGGACCAATCATTTACTCACATTAGTTCCATTAAATTTAATGGGGCAACCCACAAGCTTAGTTATCTGCAGAAACCGACATCACTTGTACTTTAAACTATCCTTTTCTTATTTTTCACTCAACTAAATGGTGGAGTTAAAGAACAGCAATCTGTAATACAAAAAATTACTTCTTCAAAATCCAGGCAAAACAGATAAACCAAAGTGAATTTTCCTCAAACAGCTCAACTCGTAATCTGAGCACGTAACTTCCCTGAGTAATAGTTTACAATTATAACATTCTACACTAAAATCAGCATGGTGCAACAAATTTTACCCATAAGGATAGTGGCCTTGATTGTGAAAGTCATGAACAAAAACACAAGAATGTTTGCTGATGTTTGACATCATATTCTTCTGCTAAATGTCCTACAGTGAAGCCTCGCAATGATCATTTTAAAGAGGCCAGGAAAACTAACAAGAAAAATTGTGTTTTAGATACACTCAATGATTTTCAGTTTCCTTCAATCTGAAAATGCAGCAAATAGCAAATGTTGCATCTAATCGTCAGTGCTGTGGAAACTTTCATCACATCAATATAGTGCAGTCTCAACTTGGAAAATAAAATAACGGTTTTGTGCCTAAAAAAATTTAAAACTATACCTATGCAAAATATATGATAAGCAACATATTCCTATCAGCAAAGTGAAATTTGAGTACATTGCATTATTTGTGTTTCAAAAATATTTTCAGTTTACATTTTTTTCACTGATAAGAAGGATAAACCAAAGTCCACAGTCTCAGAGTACTGACATAGCAGTAATTACTTTTCAAGCCTTTATTTGTGTGGAAATCCACAGGATGTCAATTGTGAAAAGTTACTTTGGACATCAATGCTTGTGCAGATATTTTTCTAGGTTAGGGGAGATAGCATCACATCAATTCTCTTCATGGCTGTTACATATTTATTCATGGTATTTTATTCTCCAGATCATCACAGCCTGGAAACATTCAGTTACGAATGAATAAGCTGAAAATATGCAAGCATGAAAACTGTTTCTTCTCAAATTGCTATTCCACAAAATTAGTGGTTAAAATATCTATCCAATCTAAATATTCAGTTTCTTCTAATTGCAAATGTCATAATTTGATGCACCTATTTTTCTATGACAAAATAAATTAGAGTTACTGGTTCCTTGCTCCTTTTCAGGTGTACTGAAATGTATTACATATGCCTCTAAAGTTAAGGTCATGCCAGAATGAACCTCTACAAAATTAAATGCTTCCTTCACAATCTGAAGGATTCACTATCTCATAGTAGTAAAATGTGCTAATATAATAATAGTGTGATTATATGAATGTTTATTAGAATAATGACATTTAAAAATATTGTACTGTTTGAATATTACCATTTTTTCTTACAAGAGTTGAAAGTAAGGGTGTGAGTAAAAGTATTTTTAAAAAACTGACAAGACCTGAGGCAATGCCGAATCCTGTAGCATCTGCTGTATTAAAGATGTCTAACTGGAACATTTCATTTCTTTGTAATTCAGGCATTTGACTCACAACACAACAGAGGTGTTCAAAGCATTCTGATTATAAACTTTGACAGCAGTTTGAAATATTTCTTTGGTGGGGAAACTATACATACCGTATATACTCTATCATAAGCCGGTTCCTTTATAAGCTGACCCCCCCCAAGATGGATAAGTAAAAACGGAAAATTTTTATAACCCGTTCATAAGCCGACCCTATAATTCAGGGGTCAGTGAACTTTGGCTCCCGGGCCATCGGGATAAGCCGCTGGTGGTCCGAGATGGTTTGTTTACCTCGAGCGTCCGCAGGCACGGAGGTAAACCTAAGTAAACAGTGTCCAGGCGCGTCAGCTACTTACCCTGACGGGCTGGGACAGCAACTGGTGGGGAAATTTTTTTGGGGGGTGGGGAGAAGCTGGGAGTCAGGGGAGTAACCTGTGACCACCCCGCACATGACCCCACCCCTAACCTGGGACCCCCACACTCTCCCCATTCCATCCCTTCCCACCTTATCTGGGGAAGGCCAGGGGAGGATGTCTCTGGCCTGGCTGGAGCTGCTCCGGCAGGCTGGGCAGCATAGCCGCAGCCTGCTCCAGTGGGCCAGACCGGGCGGTGCGGCCGCAGCATGTTCCAGTGGGCTGGGCCAGGTGGCACGGCCGCAGCGTGCTCTGGCGGACCGGGCGGCATGGCCACAGCCTGCTCTGGGGGGTGGGGCCAAGTGACACGATTGCAGCCTGCCAGCCCCGGAGCTGAAGTTGCTTCAGAGGCTGGGGGGAGAGCAGCGTGGCCAGAAGCGGAGAGACTCTGGCCCCGCCTCTTCCCTTCTGTCTCTGCTGGCTGTGCTGCCTCTCCTTGCTCCCTCTGTTGGGGGGAGGGGCTGTACCTCTCTATACCCATTCATAAGCCGACCCCCGTCTCTGATGCTTCCCTTTTTTACTAAAAAAATTCAGCTTATGAACAAGTATATACGGTAAGAAGTAATGTCAGTTTATAACACGGTAAGACATTAAAATGGAGTTATCAGATTACCCCCAACATACACCCACGGTTACAACTAGAGTGGGATGAAAACAGAATATTTTCCTTTTTTATTTGTTGAATGCTGAATAGGAGTGTAGGGGAGGGTGTTTGTTGAATCTCCTTTCCCTTTACCTGTTGTAGTGAGATCCAAGACCAGATGTGGTTCTGGTAGTGCACTATGGGCCATTAATACAAAGGTGAGCCTGAGAATGCAGAGAAATTAGAACATAGCCTCCTAGAACATCCAATACTTCTCACTCTCCCTTTATTGTGGATTGAACAAGAGATACTTGGCAGCAGCTATTATAGGTATTCAATGGGTTTTTTTTTTTTAAACTGAGAGAACAAGCTACTGAAAATTACAATTATTTGAATACAAAGGCAAATATTTGTTCCATTCTAGTCACAAAACAGAAGTTAATCAAGTTAGCGAAACCAGGAGACTAAACTGTGCAGTCAATATATAGGCCCATTTTGATTATGCTGTTAAAAATGTCAGCTATGTTAGCTGACTCCCAACATACATTCCAATAGTATTATATCAAAATTAAAAACTAAAAATCAATAAAATAGTGCACACTGTGTAAACAAAGATTTAAGGACAGATTTAGCTATTGTGATTTCAGCTTATTCTGTACCTATTTAAAAAGCTGTCAGAAGGCTCTTTTCCCCTTAATTTGGCTGACATACAAGTGTAAAAAAGCATATTATGTTCGGATAGCATAAGGCTACATGTGCAGGCACAAACATTCCAACATACACACATACATATATACAGTATATAAACATGTATGTTGCATATCACCAACATCATAGTGAAGTCCTACCACTGCTCCCAGCTAAAGTCATCTCCTCTACCAAATACCAGAAAAAAGCCTAAAATGGTAAGAAAAATGACTGCATTGCCAGCTAGCACAAGACCACAGGCTCCCCACTTGATCTGAAATACAAGATGAGAAGAAAAAAAATCCTTATTTGGTTTACATGACGTGTACAGATCTGTGTTACTTTCATGCATTAGATAAGCTAAATGAAATATCACACACGGGTGCTAAAAGCATAAGAGAAAAGACCAACGAACAATTGATTCAGTTCAAGCATTCAATTAGCAAGCACTGAAGTAACTAGTATTATACTTATAAATTCTCCCTTCATTAGACAGTCTTCTGCAATACACTATCTTTCAGAACTAAATAATTATCTTAAAGCAGAATCATCTTGGCAAAAAGAACAAATAATACAGGATACAGAAAATTCTTTCAAACTCAATGCTTTCTCCTAGCTTCTATGCATTACAGATTGGAAGATATTCCATAAAATCAAGGCAAGGAATATCAATGAACAATAATTTGCAAAAATAAATAGCAATAGCTTTTTGTAGCCAAACAATCCCATGCCCCAGTCTTAAAAATATTTTGCTCTTAGGAGATGTTGCTAGGGATAAGAGTACCCTCTTGTGGGCATTTCTGGTTTTGCCTACTGTCAAAAACCTACAATTGCTAAAACAATTTGTTTTTATATAGTGTCCTTCATACAGAGCATTTCAAAATACATTAGAATGAGAATAATAAGAAAGTCAGCAGAACGTACCGCTTCAACACGTGCAAGGATTATAGGCATTCCAAAGGCAGAAACAACAATTCCAGTTGTGAAGAAATAGGCCAATTCCCTGCAGGCACTGCTAGCTGCATCAGTGTCATCGCTTACTCTTTTTGCAATGAAGTGAGGAATGGGACAAAGGATGTAAAATATCAAGACAAACAGGGGCCAGTACACACTGTGGGAGAAAAAGCCCCAAAAAGAAAACAAAGTTACTTTTCACATTGAAATCAAATCAGACAGACAACTTTATAGATTTCAAAGGGATTTTCACATGCACAAAATTAAGTGTGTGTGTCTTTGTAAGATCAGGACCAATGTTTCTACTAAATAACCTACTTTTTAGCCTTTTGATGATCAGAAAACAATTGATATGTAAGCATGTTTAATGTTTTTGCCCTTCAGTCACTATTGGAAAAGTGTATATCTAATAGTTAATCTTAAAACTCAGTGAATTTTACAGTTATTTTTATATATTTTTTCAAAAATAAACCATCTGGTTGTTGTTTAGAATTAGGAAAATTTAAATATCATTTGTATTTTTTTTAATGCTGCTTGTGCATGTCAGATAAATTCACCTCTACTCCATTAATTCCGTATTACTATTTTAATAAAATCAGTAAAATATTGATTAAAATCAAATCAATACTAGAGAAATCTACTGCAAAAATACTTCTACAAAGTTAAAATTACTGACTCATTAAACAATACTATATTTCTACCCAACCGAGATTCAGTATACAATGATTTTAGTCCAGTTTTTACAGGAGTTAAACATCAATTATGTGTTGGTTCTGGACCTTACAATGGTGTTCTAGGATAGTAGGCTTAATATGAATAATCATAAATGCAAAGCTAAATGGGTTACAAAGCCATCCAATCAGAGTCCACAATTCTTAGTTAACAACTACTAAACTTATCTTTTAGCTAATAAAACAGTGGTTAAATGTGCATACTCCAAATTATATGGGACCGACATACAACTAGACTGCATATGCGTATTGACATGGGCAGTTCAAGAACACAAAGTTAGAACAAAGTCAATTTTTATTTTTGAACTGAATTATTTCTTACCCATAATATTCTAGGGCACATCCCAACATAAGAAACGTTAGACCAATGGCTCCACTGAAGGATAAACCAACAAGGGCTGTACAAGAGCAAAGAAATGGATTGTTATGCTGAAAACTCAAAACAAAACAATAATTATTATAACTTTAAGAGGAAGTCACCCTGACATTGTCACAGCAAAACTTTCTCCAAGAGTCAGTAAAAACTGGCCTTGACTTGAATCAGCAGCTGCAATGCAAAGTGATTCATTATTTCAATTCATTGTGTGATTTGGTTACTAATGATCATTGTAGCAGACAAGTGCATTCCTCATTCGTTTGATTTTTATTCTTCACCTTTTCTGCTCTTGATACTATATTCTTCCTTGAATGACCATAGCAACAACTTATTGATGCTTCAAAATAGAAGTTAGGGGATTTTTACTCTTTTTAAAGTTTCATTAAAATCTAATAATAGCATTTTTATATATTGTGAAATCAAGACACACCGTAACACAAATAAGGCTTTTATTGGACTTTAAACTGTTCCCTACTGTGTTTGCAATCCACACACTGTAGCACCCTAAGAGTGCATGGAAAGCAAAAAATGAAACCAACAAGTCTCTCTGATTATCCCCAAGCTAAAAAAGGCCAAAGTATCATCAGATCCTGATCTTTGAGGATATGGGCTTTTGTAACATCACCTCAAGCCTTTCAAAACTATTCACAACTTTTACAGATGTCAGCCACTTCAGGGAACACCTGCTGAAGGATGGAGGAGCTGGGAAGCTACTCTGGGGGCAAAACGAGAAACAGAGGATCCAGAGAACTGAGGGGGACCAGATTTGAGGACAGGGAGGGTGGGGAAGAATCAGAGGTGTGCGAGGGGGCCGCAAGGGAGAACTGGGGGTGTCCAGACTCGGAGGCGAGGGGGAACAGCGGGGAGAAATGGACGGGTGTCCAGGACGGAAGGAACGGGAGAATCAGGGATGTCAGGGAGACTCAGGGGGCAAGGAGGAGAGTGAGGTGAGGAGGAACTGGGGGAGGGCGACCCAGTGAGGGAGAGGCGACGAGGCTCAGGGAGGAGGGAACGGGAACTCGGTGATGTTGTGGCTCCAAAGGAGGAATCGGAGTGTCCAGGCTCCAGGTGGGAGGAATCAAGAGTGACACGGCTCAGGAGAGTATCGTGACTGGGCAGGGAGGGAATCGAGGGGTGATGAGCCTCATAGTAGGGAATCGGCGTGGGCAATCGGAGTGTCCAGGCTCAGGAAGGTATTGTAGC